GGCCTGATTGGCATAGATATAATGGAGTCAAGTGTTACGTGTCTCTGAATCATCTTCAGCCTTTCACGTGTAATCCCCCTCTAAAGAAGTCGGGCCATATGACACTGCCCTTATGACAAAGGGAAAAAATGTCAGATCTTTTTAATTGCCTTTCAGGAGGATGGGTATTCTGCAAACATTCTGTGTCATAAATAAAACTGAATACGATTTTGATACTCTCTTTCCTTTTCTCTCTCTGCCCTTTTAATTTTTTCTTATTTTTGTGAGACCCGGTAAGTAGAACCCAACAAGGAAAAGTCTTTGTGCACCAGTGATTGTGAAAAATGTAAAATACTAGATGTAAGCAGCTACTTCCTGTGTATCAGGGCCTCCTGCCACTACTCACTTCCTTAATCTGAAATGCTGTAACTTGTTCCTTGCGGTTATTCAGCCTGAGGAGGCTAGGTCCCTTCTTCTACATGCAGACAACTGCTTTTGCGCTTGAGAAACTTGATAACGTTTCATTTGCCGAGTATTACGCCGTAGCTGCCATTTTGTGTGCTGTCGCAATCTACATGCCTCTAATCCATCATCCTTAAAAAGGTATGTTTGCAGTAATGGTTTCTGGCATTTTCTGTAGAATAATTGTTTTGCACACTTGTATAATGTACGAAAACGAGTGTTGGCTTCTCAGTTGAAATAGTATCTCTGTTTCCTTTGATAATTTGCACCAATTGTTAGGGAGACCATCATCTTCCATCTGCATTTACCTTTTTCACCATCTTTTTTACATTTGTATCTAGTTTACGATAGTCAAAAGCACATGTTCTAGTGATTAAAGATTATTAACACCTAAACTAGAAAAAGTTAGAAGACATAGTGAAATACGATGAATTTGACTTGTCAGAACATACAAGTGTGATTTCTGAAAGGAAATGCAATGCTTAATCAAAAATTAGATTGTATTAAGCAAAAATATTTTGCATGCAAAACATTACATCATCAGCAACTGAAAGGATGTAATATGCTTTTGTATACTTTGAGCTGTGTTTTACTTTAACCTTTTGTGAATTTTTTGTTTTACTAGATCTTCATATATATACACACTAACATGAAATGTTTAACCCACTGGCAGTACAGTAAGTGATCTTCAAGGATATTATGCTGACAATTAATAAAAAATCAATAGCTAATAAAGGTCACTATTTACTCATAACCATTGGTCCAGTATGCTCAGCACTACAGTAGGTACAAACCAGAGACGGTGCTTAACCTAAAAAATTTATTAGCAGCAAGGTGTATTTTTTCAGCTGTCTGCCTTATGATTTGCTGGACTTACTGTCAGTTTTATGTTTTTCCTTTGGATAAAAAGAGCAACGAGAGAGATTTTTCCTAAAGGTGTTTTCAGGGAATTCAATCGATCCCTTAAATGTACATGCTGAGGGGTGAGCTCAGAGACGTTATTTTTGCAGAGACCAATACAGTTTCCCTATAAAAGGGGGACCTGGGGCAGGGGGTGGTGGTTGAGTGTGTTCAAAGGTCTCTACTACATCATTTGCACAAATATTTACCACATCTATTTTTTTCAAAAGTTTAAATTGGTTTGCTTCTCCTAGATGTTTCTATCACATTTCTTCTAAATATGCTTCGCTTTCTGCAAGATGATTCTGGATTTTTGTTAGCTGAATAACTTCCTCACTTATATTTCCAGAACACTACAAAGGCTCCAAAACTCCAAAACACTAATCAGTTTTAACCCATCTTGCTATCTACAGTGACTGACGTGGCATATTATGTATGAGACATTTTAGTTCACTTACACAGAGCTTTGCCACTGTTGAGCACCTTTGCCTGTTTCATAACTTGTGGAATTCCTCATTGTCCTATTGAGCTAAAATTCCTGATGTTGTGTGTGTACCACTGTTATGCGCAGAGGTCACTTCATGCTCAGGCGAAAATCCTGTCAAATTTCGTGAGAGCCTTGCACAAGTGGGACTCAGTAATAATGAGTGAAGGCTTCATGATTTTGGCCCACAGATTTTATTTGTGGAGAACACTCAGAGTATAAGGAAGATAGCTGCAGAATGTATGTTGGACACAGTAACATTGAATATAAAGGCAGTGTTGATATCAGGGACATTGGGTGCCTGAGTTTTCTCACATCCCGTCAACAGCATCATAGAGGTAGATTATCTGATCTATGTTCAGACTATTTATTGCTGCCAGCTTCAGAAGGCAATCTTGTGAAAGGTATTTGGGCTAATCACTGCAATGCAATTCTTGCTCTTTACAGACAAAGATTATTTGATAGCTATTTTTTGCTAGAATTCTTCCTCCTAGTAAGTAAGTTATTCCAGTGCTATTATTCTAATGCTCTATTTTTCTGTGCTTTTACTGCACTGAGCTGTCCTCAGCCTTTCTGGAACTCACAGAACATAAACTAAAGCTGTTAAAAGTAAAACTAAAGTTTTCTAAAGCTGTAGCCTTTAGATCTATTTGTTACTTGTCCAGAAAATTAACAATATGAGATGCTGGTCTCTGTACTCAACTGGGCAGATGTTTTATTTTCTAAACATATACAGGCTGTTTTTGTTGGCTATATAGCAAATAAAATAGTTTTCAGTTTTCTCTATACGTAGAAGACATATACTTTTAACATATGAAGTCACATCTGTGTGTGTGTGTAGCATTTCTAGGTACCATATCAAACAAGATTTTCTGCCTGTTTTTGAGCCTAAGCTCTCTAAAAAGAGCCAAACAGCTTCATAGCGTGTATGAGTGGCAGAGCTTACACCTGTTTAACTTTGTTCTGATCAGATGTTCTGTGTAAGAATGGCTGATTAAATATAATCAGATATAACTACTCTCTATCAAGGTACGATGCCCTGTGCTGTAAGAAATGGTGGCTATCTAAGGTTTGCAATAATAACTTTAGTAGTTCCATGTAATCTTTTGTGTAGTTACTGTATTAAACCTTGAAAAATCCAGTAAAATTAAAACTCAAATAAAATGCCAACCAGTAACATTCAGAGATTGAAAATAATATTTTATTCCGATTTTGCATATACCTTGCCCTCAACTTTGTTTGGAGTGGAAAGCACACAGCATTTCTAATAGTCAGTATCTTTCAGGCACAGCTACTCAAATGAGTGGCATCTTCATGATGGCAGCCATGGTGCTTATAGTTGGTCCTTAGCTCAGTATAGCTCCCAAGACTTACTGCCTTGGCCTTGTTATTGCTTGTTGCTTTTGTCACACGTGCTGTAGAGTCCATTGACAGCTCCCTGCCTACCACTGTCATTTTGGTCACCTGCCCTTGACCTCTGTTGTTCCTGCTCACTGCTGCTTTTTTCATAACTCTGATTAATACCATGGATTTGACAAGGGGGACCACGTCCATTTCATAGGAATCCCGCAGAACACGTCTGAGGGCATCCAGGGTATACCTCAGGCTGCCCTCCTTCTACCAGCATCTAGGAAAGCTCAACAGAGAAAACAGGTGCAAATTTGGATGTAGGTTTAGTATCTTTTATTTCTTCTTTGTGTTTTAAAACTTTTCTCTCTTTGTTCCCTTTCTTTTTTCAGCTGAATGTTTCATTAGCAACTTTTCCCTGCATTAAATGCAGTGGCACTCTGTATAAGGTCAGAACTCTGTTTCCGGTGTTTAATAAATAATGGGACAACAACAAGAATTATACAAACAAACCCAAATGACACTATTAAGAAAATCCTTCTGTTGCTAAAACAAATACCTATTTATTTCTTCCATTAGCCTTCCTTTTATGACGTAGTAGACCCAGTAGATTTTGAAGGCTTCCTAATGACACGGCTGAACAACTTGGACTCAGAACTAGCACAAGAACTTGGTGACTTTCCTGAAGATGACTTGGACATTGTCTTTACACCCAAAGAGTGCAGGACTTTGCAACCCTCTATGCCAGAAGATGGGTAAGACTTTCTCTCCCTCTGAAATGCTGCAGGTTTAAAAATAGTCTTGAAGATGTTGATCCAGACACCTCACTCTTCCAATCCATCCATCCATCCATCCGTTACACGCTTGCTGAGCTTTTAAACACTTGAACATTGTCATTCATTGTGTTAGGCCTGTTTGCACATGTATTATGCAAGTGCTTACACAGCTTCCTGAGCTGGCTGGTGGCGGCAGAAGTGAGGTAGGTGTAAACCAGGAAGAAGAGTAAAGAAAGGCAGGAGGGTAGTATGAAAAATAATTTTGTAGCTGTGATCCCAGAGGTGGAAGTTGATTCTGGTCATGTAGTAAGCATAGGATTGAGGGTTTTTTCTTTTTTCTTTTTTTTTTTCTTTTTTTTTGCCAGCTATGAGTTTCATGGCATTGATCAGATCACTAAGCATCTCTTTCTCAGTACCTTTCTTCATACTTTACAAGGTTTGGGGAAAAAAATGCGTTAATTTCTAGCATAGGAGTCACTTTTGGTTTTGGGCTGGCATTTAATGAAATAATTAGGAAGATTTCCGCTATTTTCAACAGCTTTTAAATTAAAATAGGTAACATGTGTTGATACTGTGCTCAGCTATCCTGGAAATATTTAAGCTGGTTTGATAAACAAGCAAACTGTGGGCAACAGAATTTTTCAGAATGAGAAAAAGGGATGCATTGGAGAGTTTTCGCATGTGGTTTAGGAGAGCCCTATGCACTGTATACAAAATACTCTTCAGCGATTGTTTCACTGTAAATGGTACCTTCACAAAGTACCACAAAGGCTTACTGAGTTTTGCAAGCAGTAACAGCCAGATAAACATTAAGTCAGCACCAGTTTAGCCCCAAACTACTGTGTCTGCAAAGACAGCTAACCATGCAACGTGTTTGGCATGGGGGGCTGGCTTCTTCCAGTATATTCAGGAAACGAATGGCACA